ATTGATCTATTTACAGTATAAGGTTGATATAGAGTTGTAACTAACATTAAGACTGATGCCCACTATACATTTAAAACTAAAAATTGGCGTTGTAAAAATGATGTGGGTTTCCAACTCTACCGTGTCTCAGTCAGGGCAGAGCGCCTTGTGAGGTGTCTTCACACTAGCTCAAGGTCACAGACTCACGGCTATATTATATTATATTATATTATATTATATTATTTGCATCATTCTGTCAATAAATCAGAATTTTTTCTATAGCGCTACTTCTTTAGTGCTAGTCCACCAGCATTACAGTGTGCTTAATTAAGTTAAACTGTTTTTAATAAAGTGCATGTGGCAAGTTTTCCAATACTGTAAGCTTATGTTTGTGTCACTAAGAGCAAGTCAGGCATAGGGGCACCAGTTTAATAATCCCGCCTAGGGCACCATAAATCCTAAGGACAGCCCTGATTGGAACTGGACTGGAACCAAAGACCATCTTGGAAGCAACATTACCAGCCCAAGCAGTCAAAAATAATGAGTTAGACCTCCCAAAAACACAGGCTCTACTGCCGCCACTTCATTCATTCTTCGGTGGCAATTCGGCGGCAGGCCCTTCCCTCCAAGAGGGACTGAGGGACCCGCCGCGGAATTGCCGCCAAAGAGCCGGCCCTGCGGGAGGGCGCAATTTTATATTCTTGCCTCGGGCACAAAAATACCTAGTTACGGCTCTGCTTCCATGGACTCTAGTGGGTGCTGTACCTGGGTCCTTAGCTCTCTTGGCCATGGAACAGCCCTGACATAAAGCGACCATGTACAGTTTAGAGACACTTTTTAATCATTTTGGCAAAGGTCACAGTGAAGACTTCCTTCATCCTTCCAAGTCACAGCTTCGTTCAAAGGCAGGCTGCTGGGAATTCCTCTCTGGATCTGTTTTTATATCTTTCTAGAACAGCTGGTTGCAAAACTGAAACAATGAAACATGGAAACGTGTCACTTTTGACAAAATTTCATTTAGAAAAAATAAATATGAAACATTTTGATAGGCTTGAAACATTCTTTTTTGAGGTTGTCAGAACAGCAATTTCAATTTTTCATTTAGAAATTACTTCGTTTAATTTTTTATGGTTTGTTTTATTTTTATATTAATTTTATTTATAGTATTTTTAAAATTTTGATTAACCTGAAACCCTTTTTGAAAAACTTTCATTTTGTGGGAAATTTCTAAATTTCAACTTCTTGTTCTGATTCGTAAACAAAGAAAATTACATTTTCATTGGCTCTTAAATAGCATATTAGTTATTGCCCATGTTAAGTCTACATCCAAATTTACAGAATTGCTCTGAGAAAATCTAGATAAGAAACCCTTACAAAACAGACGTATAAAATCCACCGCATTACAAAAGATAGCCAGACTACTTCCTGCTGTGATTCTGTCATATCTCGTATGCTAAGCAAGGTGGCCCTGAAGAATACTTGGTGGGGAGACCTGTCTTGTAGAAAATGAGATTGTCGGTTCAGTGTTGTAGCACTGAGGTCCTGATCTCATAGACGATAACAGGGCAGGAATAAGGACTGTCGAATTATTATTCACTGGTACATATATGAACTTTTGGAATCCTGATGTTAATTTGTTGGCTGGCATGTTGGCTGCACCCTGCTCGCTATTACATGGAATTCCTGACCTGATCGAGTGTGAGTGCTCACACTAACCTCTTGTGGTTGCAGAGGCACAAATCTCTAAAACTGACTGGAGACCCTCCTTTAACTACGGTGGTAAGAGACGGTGGGCAGAGTTTCCGGCGTGTATGCTGAGTGTACTGAGCAGCATCAGCCAGTGAGAGTCTGCCGTGCCTGGGGACTCCTCCTCCACCACCACAAGCTCTTTCAGGTGCCTTTGGCAGTGGTGCTGGAATTAGGGGGTAATAACAAACACCAGATACAGGTTTTCCATCATCAGCACCCCCACTATAAAAATTGTTCCTGCACCCCGGGACTTTGGTGGGTCAGAAAATGCAGCTGAAGTGTCCACGAGCGCCTCACGGAAACTTTGCCTGACACAGGCGGGACAGTGCAAGCAAGAAACGTTCTTGAAAAGGGGCCTCTTCCATGTTGCTCAGCACGCAGTGTTAGCAGGCGGGTCAAACTTCCTGTAACGGGCAGGGTGGGCAGTAAAGCTTTCCCACAGTCAAACGCTAGAGCGGCCACATTCTGGGAGGGTGCTAGGGAGTCTGGGATATGGTTGGTTTGACTTGGGTCTGTCTGCTACGGTGTGGATGCCAGAACCCCAGGTTAATGCCTGGGCTAGAAAATTCTTAATGTAGGGTTGACACTCCACATAGACTTCTGCAGGGGTAGTCAGTTTTTTGTCAAGGTTCAAATTTCTTGGTCAAGGTATAGACAAGGTCCAGACTGCAGAGAAAATTAAAAACAACAGCAATAATAATTAATAAGTAAATAAAAAGATTTCAGGGTCTGTTCAAAAGCATCTACCAGTCCAGATTTGGCCTGCAGTCTACCTATTGACTACCCAGTGTAGATGCTCAAGCCCATGGTTCTCTAACCCAGGGTCAGCTGAGTCAAGTGCCACTAACCCTGGGCTTATATTGCAGTGTAGACATACCCTGTGTTTTTAGAGCAGAAGGTCCTGAGCTTTATTCCGGATGAAGTTCATGATGTGTGGGATAAATTATTACCTTGAAATGTATGCGACCAAGGAGTCATTACAGCGTGTGGTGTCATATGCACGTGTTTTGCTGCACTCTGCAAACAATTCAACCTTTCAGTCTGAGAATATGAATTACCACTATCTACCCGTCTGCTCCTCTCTCCCCAACAAAATTCCAAGGTCAAATCACGCTCTCTTTTGTTCCCTTCAGGCTAAAGAGCATGCGGGGAGCAGTTTCAATGAGAACAACCTTCGTATGGTAACAATTGACTTGTTTACGGCTGGCACTGAGACCACCTCCACCACCCTGCGCTGGGCATTGCTGTACATGCTTCTCCATCCTGACATCCAGTGTAAGCAAGAGGACTGGTGGAGATGGGACCGGTTCTCCCAACCCTGCATCTTCCACTGAGAACTTCTTAGCATCTGCTATCATCTTTGTGTTCTGGGCATATGAAGCTGCCGTAGCAGCAGTCACAGCTGTGATTGGGGAAATAATTCCACTGGAAAACTCTCTGAGTGGGAGAGCAAAGATCTGTGGCAAGGGAGAAGGGAGAGAGCAAGCTCCTGTTAAAGATTTCAGTGTCAGAGGGAGCGCTCACCATTTTTCTTCATGACAAGTGCACTTTGAGACCCTCATAGCTACTTGGTAACTCTTCCTTCTCTTAGGGTCTCCATAGGGATAAATGCTAACCTGCTTAAATGCTCTAATGCCAGAGGAATAAGTACATAAGTGCCGACTCCATGGGTGCTCCGTGGTTGGAGCACCCACGGGGAAAAAAAATGTGGGTGATTAGCTCTACTGGCAGCCCCGCTGATCAGCTCTTCCCCAGTGCCCCCTGCCCACCACGGATCAGCTGTTTAGTGGCGTGCAGGAGGCGCTGGGGGGGGGCAAGGGGGTGGAGCGAAGGCAGGGCGCACTTGGGTGGAGGGGGTGGAGCAGGGGCAGGGCAGGGGTGGGGCCTTGAGGGAAGGGGTGGAGTGGGGGCAGGGATTGGGGCAGAGTGGGGGTCAAGCATCCTAGAGGAAATTAGAAAGTCGGCGCCTATGCACAAGTGGGTCAAATACAGTCTGGGTAAGGTGGGATGTCTCTAACAATGAGCTTATTAACCCATAGAACGGAGGATGACTATGTTAGTTGGGCTGAGTAACTGAAGATGAGTATGCTGTCCTTCAGCTCCTAGTTCTGCATTCCTCTCTTTCCTACTCTCTGCAGAGCTCACTTTGGCCTTTGTCCCCAACCAAGGCCAATACCCTCTTATAGATATCTCTAGTTAAACTCTGCCTCCCTAGCACTCTTGCTTCCAGAGGCTTTCACCAATTTCCCTGTTCAACAAACACACAAGACCTGATTGTGAGGTCAGGAATTAGCAGTTGGGAAGCAGAGCAGTGCATGTCTGGGGTATCAAAGAGGCTTTCTGGTTGTGTGGAGGTGAGAGAAATTTGAAGTTGGTCCAGACAAGGACCATGCCTTCTCCCCACTGCTGGATATCCTTCCTGACCCCTGAACAAGTGCCCCCGACACCAGACACCTCCCAGACACTTAGAGCACCCCCTTCCTAGAGACGACTCACTTGTAAACTGCTCAATAGTTGATAGGAAGCTGGTTAACAAACTCACAGATTATAAACCCACATTATTAATTATTATTATTATACTTCTATATTATAATAGCTCCCACAGGCTCCAATCAAGATTGGTTCCTTGTTGTTCTCAGTGTTGTACAAATAAAAATAAACAGACAATCCCTGCTCTAGAGAGTTTACAGCCTAAGGGTAAATCCGTAGGCTCCCCACTTGTACGGTGTTGATGTACATCATTAAATATGGTACATCCTCCTCAATGTAAAGGGTCTTTTTCCAGGTAAAGTCCATGAGGAAATTGATAAGGTGATTGGCAGGGACAGGTCACCCAAGATGGAGGACCTAGCGAACATGCCTTATACCAATGCTGTGATCCGTGAAACTCAACGTTATGGGGATATCACTCCTGTTGGCATGCCTCACATGACATACCGGGACACCAAGCTCCAAGGCTTCTTCATTCCAAAGGTATCTATGGCCAGGCAGGGGATGCAGACATCTTCTCCCCTTGCAGACTTATCTCCTGAAGCTGCAGATATTCCATATGTGAATCTCCCCAAGGTTCCGTGCAGAGGGGGGGGAGGTGGAGCACCAGGCCCTGAATCACACAACCATTGGTGAGTTATCAAATGTGCAGTTTTGAAAGGGCTTGGGCCTCATGGAGCCTTCTTTATGTGGTTAGCTCCATCTTCATCAGGTCTTTGAATAGCTGAAAAAACAATAAATCGAGCTAAAGGATTGTAATCATTACAAGGGAGACTGTAAGTTTGTCTTCGGCACCTGATAACATTCAGTATATCTGTTTGAAGGTGGAGACAGGTAATGCTGATTAACTGTGTGGAATTTGGAATGGGATATAGAAACTACCTGCTAGGTCACCAGTTCAAATCCAGAAGAGTAGCAACTAAAACTCCATTATCTGAAGGCAGTTCAGAGGCCACTGTGCATCTCAGTCCAGTTCCAAATGGACAAGAGACAATGACGGGCAATTATTGCCTTCCCTGGTGACAGTCTCACTGGAGAGACCAAAGCCATACAATACTCAATTCCACTCTCGCCCTTAGAGGAAGCTCCTCTAACTCAGGCCTAAGGCATGTGAGAGGGAAAAGATCTCGCTTTTTCTGTGAAGACAATGAGAATTGTAGTTCAGAGTCTCTCAATCAGCACACTCTTACCAGAGCTAAAATTAACTTGAGAAAAATTTGAAGGAATTGGGGAGTAGAAGCAATTTTCATCACATGAACCTCATTAGACATGAAAACACCACTTGCATACCCTTACGCTATGTCTACACTATGCACCTTTTAGTGACACTTGTGCTGCTAAAAGGTGTGTCATGTAGCCGCTCTTTGTCGGCAGGAGAGAGCCCTCCCACCAACAAAAATTCCACCCTCAACGAGAGGTAGTAGCTTTGTTGGCAGGAGAGCTCGCCTGCTGACAAAGCAATGTTCATTGAAAGTGTCCCACTCCACTGTGCTATAAGATTATACAATTAGGTATCTGAGGTGGGTTCTGTGCCTTCCTCTGAAGCATCCTACAATGGCCACTACTTGAGATGGGAAATTGAATGCAGAGGGACTGGCCTGTTCTGATGTGACAATTCTTATGTACCCCGTTTCTTCTCTGGGGTGGATCAGGGGACGACAGTCATCACTAACTTGTCCTCGGTGCTGAAGGATGAAACGGTTTGGGAGAAGCCGCACCAGTTCTACCCGGAGCACTTCCTGGATGCAGATGGGCAGTTTGTGAAGCGAGAGGCCTTCCTACCTTTCTCTGCAGGTAAATCCAAGGGGAGGAGCAACTGGGAGAGGCCGTCCCTGTGGAAATGAGGCACAGTGCATGAGAAATGACCCACTACTGTTATGGGAAAGTGAGTCTCCTCTAAAGGAAGGTGTCCCTCTCATCATGAGAGCAGCTTCCTCATGTGGAAGATCAGTGCAGTCTGTGCTGAGCTGGGTCTGTTCTACAATGCCCTGGTGGTATCAATATATGCAACCTCTGCAAAATAACTCCCTCTCTCTATTTCTCCAACGCAGAAACTCTGGCCTTGAAATTCTGTACTTAGGGTCAGGCCTTGAGAGCCTGAGCAGCTTGCCCCAGGGTCTGTGTAAACCACTCGGCCAAAGGGAAGCAGTCCTGTATTCTGTACTCTGCAATAAACTGGGCAACCCTCACCTTAATTAATTCATTGCTCATCTTCTACTGCTGTAGTTATTTAAATAGAAAATAAACTTGTTACAAATCAATTCCGGTTGCTTATGTAACAAACCCACCTACCTAATCCCGGAGGAGCGCAGAACTGCCAGGTTAAGGAGGACCTTCGTCCCTTAAGCCTATACACCCATCCGTCATGTTAGGCTCCGTTCTTCATGAGCATGCTGCATCTCCCCAGAGAAATTACTTCATACTGCAGTACATCTGCTTGAAGGTGAAAGCCCAGGAATTGGTTTAGAAGCAATGTGCACACACACAGGTGAGGTGTGTATTATTGGGAAAAGGATGAGGTCATAGTTAAGGATTTCTGTTAAAGCATGATCAAAATTGTTGTGTGCCACATACTTCTTTATCTGTTGCAAGGCACCCTGATCAAAGGAAGGCATTTGTTACTGGAGGCTCAGAGACCACTGCAATGGGGTACATGGATCAGTAGTGGATAAAAGGGAGACGGATGTTCCCAGTTTCCCATATGCTCCAAACTCACTAGAGAGCTGGGAAGAGGGAAATACTGATTCTCTGACAGACACCAAAGGAGGCCAGCTGTGGCTGGAGGAGGGGCTGTCCTAACCCCGTCTGGTCATCACATCCACAGCAGAGAGATTTCTGAAGTGGTGGGGCATGGCCTCTGCCAGGTGTGTACCAATGCAGCCCAGGAGTTCCAGCAGTGGGAGCTGTGAAGGCTTAGCCAGGAGGCTCTATGCACTAAGCAGTGTTATAGCTTTGCCACAGGACCTTTCCCAGTGACTGGATCACCTCCAAAAATAGACAAACACTTAGCAGGGTGGTTGGTGCTTTCTAGGTTTGTTTCAATGCAGCCAACCGTTTCCGTTACAGAGAGGGGTTGAGGTCCCATCAAAGGAAAAAAACGTGTCACAAACTTAGTTAGGCAGCTTCTAACGCATTTCCAGAATACTCTGCAGTACTGGGGGGGGTTTCTCTCGGTACTAAGCTGAGCTAGATATTGGCTCAGCGAGTACATCTATGTGTACCCAGGTTGGGTACACATACCCACGCTAACTCACCAATAGCATGTAGGAGTGTAGCCACTGCAGCGTGAGCAATGGGAGGGGCTGGTCACCCTGAGGATGATCCCGTCCAAGATACTCAGGTGGCTAGCCCCTCCCGCTGCTTGCGCCCCCCTGGCTACACTTCTGTTTTTAGCACACTAGCTAGCTCAGAGTTAGTGGAGGCACGTCTCCTCGAGCTGGAGATTACACCTTCCAGCTCAAAGTGTGGACGTACCCCTGGTTAAAAGCCAATTTTGTTTTTCGTTTTATGATTTGATTTTAGTCTGTAAACAGGTAATTGAGCAGCCACCTTCCGTTTGTGCCAAACTGCAGTGCAATGAGTGTCTCCCCTGCACTCTGTGTCAGTGCCTGCCTTGCACTCTCTGGAGCAGCAGTTCCCAAAATATGGCTCACACCCCCAAATGGGGCGGTGCCATCAGCACATGGGATCGTGGCAATCCTTTGTGTGCAGAGGACGTCATTTTGCTCTGTACAGCATGATCTCGCATGCACCGGATGTACGAGGTCACACCGGGTGGAGGACACCGTTTTGTAGGACTCCGCCACATGGCGTGAGCTCACACTTTCAGTGCGTCTGAGATCGTGATGTGCCGAGGAGCCCATTTTGCTCCTCCATGGTGTCTGGGGTTCTGGCAGGAAATACTTAATTAAAATGGGGTCACACTAGCAAAAAATTTGGGACCCGCTGGTCTAGAGCCTCACATAATTCAAGAATGGACTTTTTGTTAGCAGCACAAAGCACAACACCTCTACCTTTCCTATTTGCTCAACAGCCACTCTAGATAATCGTGTTGCCGCTTTCCATTTTGAACAGCTAGTTAAATTTCACGGCCCTGGGGATATTCCAGTTGGAAGTAGAGATTGATGGAGTCAGGTATTTTCTTTGATGCAATCTTATTTATAAGGAACGTACAAAGTCCTGCTCCTTTGAACACAGGAGGAACCAATAACAAAAGGAGCTGTTTCTTAGCTTATGGCCCCAAGCCTCTTTTGCCAACAGACCCAAAAGCTTTTTCCCAGAGTCACACTGCACTCACAGGCTACTACTGCTTGTCCTTCTTGCTTTTGTCTCTGCCTCTGTCTGTTTTTGTCTGTTCTCAGTTTTTGTGTGTTCTCTCACACACTCGCAACTCCCTCCTTCCCCCCCCCCCGCATCTCCCCAACCTGGTCACAATACCAAGTGGAACTCCCTACCCACCTGATGCTAGTTTCTGGAAAGATTCTATTAGGCCTTGTTTTAGGTGTGGGTTACAACTATCTTAAGTGAAGGGTGTGTTCACACAGCAGTTTGAATGAGGTTTTGAGTCAACCCATAGCAAGGTTTCACCCAGCTCATAACATGGTCTGACCCATAACTCATTCACTTCAGGTATCAACTCATAGACTTCAAAGTTTCATTTTACTATCTTCAAAGAGAACAGTCCAAAGAGGAAGAGGGGGTGTTGTCAGAAAGGTTCCTAACGACCAAGAGAAGGATTTTGCAGTGGCTATGGGAGTAGATATGGCACCAGTGATGTCTTTCAGGCTGGCGGTGAGGTGATCCTGTTTGTACGAGTAGTGCAAAGGCTTGCTGCAGTGGTTTAGCCTGACATGGATCATTGGTGAAGATGCACCACTTGTATTTGCCTCAAGTCCAGGAAACCAATGTCCCCAGATTGCACTTGAACCAGAATCTCCTGCCTGGTAGCATGGGCATGTTGTTCCACCTCAGATTTCTCTATCTAAAGGCATTTATTTGCCCATTTTGATTCTAGAAGGCAAGAATTCCACAAAGAGCGTATGGGACAGATCTTCAACTGGTGTAAATTATCATAGATCCTTTGACGTCAATGGAGTTATGTCAATTTAACCAGCTGAGGATTTAGCCCTGTGTATTCGAGTGTCTCTGACCCTTTTGAGTCAGGCTAATGAGGCAGTAATTCCCCTCTCCAAATCAACTGACAGAGTCCTTGGTTTTACCATTTCCACTGAAGCTTCTGGTGCTGGCCACCATCAGAGACAGGCAATCAGATTAAATAGAACATTGATCAGTCTGGAGAAGTATTTCCTAGTTCTTCCTGTTCACACAGGGTCCAAGAATAGGGAGACTCACCATCTGCTGCATATGGAGGCAGATTCTCTGTTCACTCCAACCTGTGGGTGTGCAGTAAGGGTCTTACTCCTTCAGTGACTAGTCATTTACATGTGGTGTTGTATCCTCCTCCTCTCTGCCTCCTCTCTCTTTTCTCACTCCCATGCTTGCAGGTCGTCGTGCTTGCCTGGGGGAACAACTGGCCAGGATGGAGCTTTTCCTCTTCTTCACCAGCCTCCTGCAGCATTTCACCATCAGTCTCCCTGAGGGCCAGGCCAGGCCTCGAGAGGATGGACGCTTTGCTGCGACACTCACCCCACACCCCTACCAGATCCAAGCTGTCCCAAGATAACAGGAGTGCTACTTCAGATGGAGGAGGAGGGCAACTTTAACCATGATTCCAGGGGCTACTTAGGCACCTGAAAATTCTAGGGTTTTCTGCAGATAATAACTTGGAAATTAGCTGATAGGAGCACTGTATCTAATTCCTATATTAAAATAAAGAGAATTAAATAAATATTAGGCTCACTCAACTGTAACACTAACATGTTGTCACATCTTCTGTCAAGTCACTTAATGGACACTGGTTAGATTTAAAATTTTCATGTATATTCTGACTTTGTTACTAACTCTTGAAGACAACAGTTGAAACAATTGTAGAAAATTCGAATTACTTTCTAGCACTTTTTGCAGTTCACCAAGCTTGGAATAGACCATTTAATGTTGGAAACACCCTGCTAGGGCAAGGCCCCATGAGTTTATACTGCACCTGCTTGTTACCTCACTCCAAATAATAAACTAGAAACTGATCTTAAACAGGAGTGAAACTGACACTTTCAAGTCACTTTCACAGTATTGCCAACCCCAAATGTTCAAAAATCATGAATCAGGCTGACCAAAAATCATGAGATTACGTAAAAGTAATAGATTTGGTGTTCTTTTTATTTGCCTTCTGCTTTTTGAGCCTTTAGGTGCACTATGATCACATTTTGACGCTTTCTCCACAGCCACAAGGGCTAGAAACTTTATTTTTCTTTAAGAATGCAGGCTGAAATCATCACATATCCACCTGACCCCAGGGGCTGGGGCTTTAAGGAAAATAATAATTATCATGAGACTCATGACAAAATCATGAGAGTTGGCAACACTTTTCTCACTTCTATTTAAAGGCTAGTTACTTTCCAGAAGGCTCTTAAACACAACACTACAGTGATCGAGTTGCAGTTCTCACCGGAGAACATTTAAAACCAAACACCAAGAAAATTCCAGATTTTAAAGTTGAGGGAAAAATGGAGACTTCTGAGGTGTATGAGGGCCACTGCAGGCAGGAAAGGAAAATAAACAGGCACAGGAGCTCTGGGCAGTTCTTCCTCTTGAAAGAAAGTTGGAGGGTCAAATCTTCTAGTCCTTAATCCAGTAAAACTTCTATTGCCATCAACGCCTCTACTCATAGATATTAACATGTGCTCAATAACAATACACTTTCTCCTTAAATATCAAAGCCATCTTATCCATGGTTACATTTTATACACATTGACTCAGGGACTATGTATTCTGGCGTATTCTGAACAGTGCTGAGCACAGAGATGGTGCCCAGTGAATAATACAAATCCTGACAATAATCGTCGACTTTATGGACTCTGTGGATGCAATTTCTGTTCTTTGTTCTGGAATTGGCCTGGATACATGAAACCCTAAGAATCTGAGGCATAAACACATCTGATACTCATACGACCCTTTCTCCTTCCTTCCCTTTTCTCAAACTCAGAACAAAAAATGACAAAATAAAATAGTTTTCAGTTAAAATGTAAAATTGCACAGCAGCCATTGCTCTATAGCCCAGCCTGGGGCAGAACCTGCCCCCTCTTGGGAGTTAAGTGATGTCCTCTCATCTGACTCTCATTCTCTCTCTCTTTCTTCATCCTTCCTGACCTCTGTGCTGCTTTTCATGCTGTCAACCATGACATCCTTCCTAAGTGCCTGGGACCGTTTCCTGGAGTCTCGGAGAACTGGCTGCCTTGGTTTTGCCCCTATCTACCAGAGTTCTCTTTTTTTGCAGCATGCAGCAGAGAAAGAGGCTGGTCTGCTGGATAGGCAGGGCCGGCTCCAGACACCAGCATTCCAAACCGGTTCTTGGGGTGGCAATCTGCAAGGGGCGGCAGTCTGTGTGTTTTTGCTGCCCCAAGCAGTGCGCCGAATTCCCGCCACGGACGGCGGGGGCAGTCTGTGTGCCGTTAGGGCGGCACGCGCGTTTCCGTGGCGGCGGCAATTCGGCGGCAGCTTCTATGTTCAGCTGCCCACGGCGGCAATTTGGCGGCTTCTGTCTTGAAGACAGAAGCTGCCGCCGAATTGCCGCCGCCATGGAAACACGCGTGCCGCCCTAACGGCACACGGACTGCCCCCGCCATCCGCAGCAGCAATTCAGCGCGCTGCTTGGGGCGGCAAAAACAGTAGAGCTGGCCCTGTGGATAGGGAGCTAGCCCTGAAAGGCCTGGGCTCTGCTCCCCCCATGGACTTCCTGTATGACCTCAGGCCAGTAAGTTAGAGACAGAGTTTCAAAACCTTTCAGACACCCAAAGATGCAGCTAGGCATCTAGTGGGGCTTACAAAGCACCTAACATAGACGCATTTCAAAATTCCACTAGGTGCCTGTCAAGGCTCCTTCCCCACTCTGAACTTTAGGGTACAGATGTGGGGGCCTGCATGAAAACTTCTAAGCTTAACTACCAGCTTAGATCTGGTTCGCTGCCACCACTCCCAATGTGCTAATTCCCTTCCCTGGGTAGCCTTGAGAGACTCTTCACCAATTCCCTGGTGAATACAAATCCAAACCCCTTGGATCTTAAAACAAGGAGAAATTAACCATCCCCCCTCCTTTCTCCCACCAACTCCTGGTGGATCAAGATCCAACCCCCTTGGATCTAAAAACAAGGAAAAATCAATCAGGTTCTTAAAAAGAAGGCTTTTAATTAAAGAAAAAGGTAAAAATCATCTCTGTAAAATCAGGATGGAAAATAACTTTACAGGGTAATCAAATTTAAAGAGCCCAGAGGAATCCCCTCTAGCCTTAGGTTCAAAGTTACAGCAAACAGAGGTAAACACCCTAGTAAAAGGTACATTTACAAGTTGAGAAAACAAAGATAAAACTACCATGCCTTGCCTGGCTGTACTTACAAGTTTGAAATATGAGAGACTTGTTCAGAAAGATTTGGAGAGCCTGGATTGATGTCCGGTCCCTCTTAATCCCAAGAGCGAACTCTCCCCAAAAACAAGGAGCACAAACAAAAGCCTTCCCCCCACCAAGATTTGAAAGAATCTTA